CTCCTTATCTGCCGCTAACGGCGCCGAAGGCCACTCCGCAAAGACTCTCCTCCTCCACAGACAGAGACAACCTGCGGGCGGCGCTAATGAGGCAGGATGCGGAAGCCCCACAGCGGAAATGAGGAAGAACGGACAAGCAAGATAGGCATCACGCAGTTTGTCATAGTCTGCAGCGTAATATGATGAAACATGAAGCGATGAGCTCGTTTTCTTCGTATAGCAACAGTGAAAACTGCGACACTCAATTGAACGTAGACGCGTTGTTGTCCGACTGTCTTCTGTTACAGAAGACCCGACCCCATTGAGAGTGCCAATGAATTTCGTTAAACAGCCTGCTGGGAGTACTTGAACTTTAGATCGTATTCAAAAATATACTCAATGAGATACAAGATATTGTAGTACGAGTACTGAGATACGATTTACTAAAATATGTATACACTTACTCTTGTTATTTTAGTTGTCATTTTTATCATAGTTATTTATGTAGTTTACATTCACTAACTAATCTCTGATACACTTACGTCTGAAATAGAAGGAAAATGCAAATAATATTGAGGCGCAAGTTAGGCCACCGTAACCATCTTAAAAACTTCAACGTAGCTGCAACGTAAGTACTAGCATATCTAATATAAATTTATCAAGCAAAGAAGTTCAATTTGAATTCCTTTGCCAATTTTGGTGTACTATCGTGCAAAAATGCTCTATTTTTATAATGGAAATCTAGCGTAAGAAAGAGTATTGCGAGAAGTGCATGTAATTATAATTATATACTAAGATTGTTTTGCGATGTACAAATGTTACATGAAACCAATTTCTCAATAGATAATGAGAGAGGGGAGAGAGAGAGCATATATAAATATATATGCTCTCTCTCTCATATATATGTTTGGTGCTATAAAATTAGCCACGTTGAAAACTGCTGTCATCTCAAAACGTAAGCAGTATGAATTTCTACCATCAAAATCTTGAATGAAATTCATGTGTGCATGTAAACTAGTCTTGATTGTTGATTTTTATGAAAATTATCATCGCGGGAATCAGGAGATAGTGATGATGATTGTAATAATAATAATAATAATAATAATAATAATAATAATAATAATAATAATAATAATAATAATTTCATTACTTTGAACGGAAGAAGTCAAAGTAATATTTAAGGTACACATACTAATTCAATCGTGTGAAAATTAGTTCCTGATTTTAAACCCGTAAGTATTAATCCTTTAAAGAATTTATCAATTGTTTTTATATGGCTACTAGTTGTATTTTTGGAAAGAGTAGATAGTTTGCTAACGAATGGCGAAGGTAATATGCAGACAACACGTAAATCATTGAAATGAGTGAATTAAAAATTTCAGATCGCAAATGTAAAGTGGATACACTAAGTGCATACAACATAAATGCAGAATATGCTTGATATAAAAGTACGTAAAACATGATGTGAAGTATAACCCCTATACAAAGTTGACATTGTACAAAAGGAAAAGTACTACATATAAAATGTTAGACCTCTTACCTGTTTTTCAATGTGTCTGATTGATGTTCTTCCCTTTTATGTTAAAAACCGTATACCATTTCACCATATCTGTGATCTACTTTTTGATGTTATAAAACTTCCTCTTGTGCAATTTTCAGGTAGGGGCAGTTCACACTTCTGTGAAGATTCATACTGGTGATTTGCTGTTTGTTCCTGAGGACGTGAGTTAGTTTTTTCTGATGATTTTTTTGGATGCATATTTTAACACCTGCATGGCTGTTAGATAACCTATGTTGCACATTATTGAAAACGTAACAATCTGATTCGATGCGGAAGCTAATTATCTACCATTTTAAAAGTTCTCTTGTCGTTTTGTTTATACGCCTTGTTTTAAAATGAAACTTGCTATTTCATATGCATATTGTGTTTCTTAAAGAACGCGTTATTGTGTTCGTTCTATCAAGTATTACAAATCTAAACCTAAGCGGTAAAACAAGAAACGAAAATGTAGGGCAAAACTAAACCTTTTAGAATGAATATGCATTCACTTTTATAATTATTTAAAGCCATAAAGACCAGGATACATAATACGGTGTAATTAAAACACATTGAAAGAAATTTACCTACCGAATTCAAAGAGTCGAATCTCGCGAATCGATTCTGAGCCGTGATCGATAATCGAAGCTTGTGAGGTATACTTTCGTGAGGCATTAGTTGGAACGTCGCTTGATTATTGCACGCAGAACAGACGCTACTGTTCCCTCTTTCTCCCTCTTCGCCTTCTTTTCTAAGTCAGATCTTTTGTACTAAGATTCGTGATTAAAATTCTCACCTCTCAACTGATTGGTGAAAATGACAGTACTTTTGTATTGTTTTGGTTTATAATGTTTATCTCGAATTTTAAGTGTTCAAAGTTGTGAAAGAGGAACTAAAGATACCTGGGACGTCCCCTCTTCGTGTTTTCGGCCGATAACCGTCCCCTCCACCCCTCCCGCGTCCCTTGGGTGACATCTGGCCACGCTTCTAATGCTATTTGTTTCTATAAAAAACTCGGCTGCATATTTTGTTCCTAGGATTAAAAAAATGCCAATTTCATTTTGTGTCATTCATTCCATAAGTATAAACATGCAATTTTATAAATGTGTTTTTCAATTTATATATTTTTGTTTTAACTTTTGGTTTGCTTGACTTTGTGCCCATTATATGCTCTCGAATTTCGTATCTCAGAACCCAAGTGCAAGTGATAAAATCCACTACTAGTTGGGATGAGTGTGGGTGAGCTTTTTTAATAGAAAACCTTAATCACGGGTCGTTTTGTCTCAAAGGGCAGCGAGAGTGACTTGCAGGTCTTCAGTGCTCAGCAGCAGATTGAAGGAGGCGGTGGTGGCCACGAGGGGGAGGCTGCCAGACATCCGCCCTCAGCACGTCTCCCCGACCCCCCGACCTCACCCCCTTCCTACCTCCGCCCTCAGCACGCCTACCCCGATTCCCGCCCCACCCCCTTCCTACCCTGCCTCGCTCCTTCTCTGCCCTCGGGTCAGCCTCCCGACCCCCGCCACACCCCCTTCCATACCTCTGCCGCTCCGCTCCCCTTCCCTCCTCTGCCTCCGCTTCAGGCCGCCCTCCCGACCCCCACCCGTCCACACCATTCTAACTCTGCTCCGCCTCACCGCCTCCACCGACCCTTCCGCACTACCTTCTCTACCTCCTGCACTCCGCCCCCCTTCTCCTCCTCTTGCCCCATCCGCCCTCCACGGCGTAACGCCTGCCCACACCGTCCGCTCCCCCTTCCTACCCGCTGTCCATCCCTGGCAGCAACGCTCGCCCCGCCCGCCCACCTTCCTACCTCTGCTCCCGCCGCTTCTTCATGGACCTCAGGACGCCTCCCGACCCCCCGCCCTCCACCCCTTGCCTACCACTGCTCGCCTCAGCGTTCCCCGACCCCGCCTCCACTCCCCTTCTACCTTCCGCCCCTCAAGCACGCCTCTGCCGACCCCCGCCTCCGTCCACCCCTTGCTACCTCTGCCTACCCGCCCTTCAGTTCACGCTCTGACATCCCGGACACTGAGCGAGCGCGCGCGCGTCCCGGACCCCCGCCGTCCCACCCTTCCTTACTCTCGGCCTCCGCCCCCTCCTACCTCTGCCTCCGCCTCTCTCTCCCTCCCACTCAGAGCTCGTGCGGCTTCTGGAGTGCAAAGCTGCCGAAGAGGATAATTTAATGTTTCCTCCTTAGCCACTGTTGGGGCGTTTGCGCCCCTTGGTCAGAGTGTGCAGTGCCGCCTAGGATGGCGAGGGGCGCGCCTTTTCGCGCCTGCACATTTCCCCTCCCTTCCCCTCCCCTCCCCTCCCCATCCCGCCCACGGGAACGAGTCCTTTTATTTCCCGATTGGCCCCCCGTTCTGCACGTGGTATGGGCTGCCCAGTCGGACGAGGAGGCAGCGTCTCGCTCCACCCGAACACAACCCAGGAAACAGACGGCTTTCGCACTAGCTCGAGCTAAAAGGGTGCTTCTTATTTTCTTAGGCTTCCTTATTTAAGTATTGAATGAATCGGACAGAATCAGCAACTACGGGGCTTAGTTCGTGTGGTGAGCGAGTGCGTGTGCGCCACCTGTTCGCACCGGTTTAAGCACGTGTTGCTTCGAACTCTGTCGCGCATGTGTTGCTCTATATACTTGATTAATAATAATGAATTATGGCGCGTTATCTAACTTTAACATTACTGCTCTGGTAGTGTGCAAGAAGACACAGTATAAAATATTAACTGAAAATATTTTCTTGATTTAAAAATTATTTCTAAAACTGAATAACACCTCAGTTAATCCTTTATTGCTAAAACTAAGAGAAGAAAAGTTCAGATGTGAAGACTTTCATTCTCTCTCTTTCTCACGCACAAACACACACATACACTCACACACTCGATTTCTCTTTCGCTTTGATCCCCTTTTATCTTCATTCCTGTATCCTCTCTCTCTCTCTCTTTCTCTCTCGATATCCCTCTGTAACTCCATTTCTCTCACTCACTATTTCGCTTGCACTTTCTTGCTCATTCTTTCGCTGTGTTGCTCCCTCGCTATCTTGCGATTTCTCTTTCTCGATCCCCATCGTCCGCTCTTAGGTTTATTGGTGTAAATGTGCGTTACCAATTTAACCTCGGGGAGATGACTGCTTGACAGTTTGCTTTCACCCTCTTCCACTACCTTAGATTCCTTCCTCTTGCTTTACAGTAATTTTCTTCCAAATTGGATTATTTACTCTGACACTTTCCTAAGCACCAACATTCCTCTTTCCCATTTCACCTCATTTTCTTTCTAGGTGTCAAATAGTTTTCATATTGTCAAATGTAATGTGTGAAATATGTTTGTAAGGCCATCTTTAGAAAATAAAGTTTTAACTATGAGAGCATTGTGCAGCATTTTTACCTACACATTTTTGATCCTTTTTCTAGATAAAATATAATGTTCTGTTCCTATTACATTTCCAGATGATAATAAATGATTTTCACGAAAGGAAGTGCAACCCTGGATTTTAACCTTTCGGAACAGTAAACGCGACTACTAATATAACTAAGCGATATAATTTTTGGAATAGATGTCGATTACACAAATTTTCAGGATGACCGTCTACAATTAAAACTGGAAATGATATTTAATTTCTCATTTCCTCCCTTCAATGTACGACTGAAAGAAATATTATTAGCACTTGACACAATCAACAATGATGGTCTGCTCTGCAATCTATATTTCATCAAACATTACACGGCGAAATTCATTCTCGCGTACCCTTTCGATAGTTTTTCAATTTTATAATTTTTTACCTCCATTGCAACTTTTTTGCCTCTTGTTCTAATTCTCAGTCCTCCGTTAAATTAAGCAGAGCCTTTTTACCACCGCGTATCACTTACTCATTCTCGGCTGTGTTGCGCTGCTCGTCTCGCCTGATTGGAGATTCTCGGAGGATATTCCATCTTCTCACCGTCCCTCGACCTCAATCTCATCACGGCTCGCGCCGCGCTTTTATTTCCGCAACGCGATCCGCCGCCGCCGCGAGGCGCCACCGTCGCGTCATTCGATACTTCGCCACCAGGGCGCTGCGGTCGGGTTTCTTAATTCCACGGCCCCAGCAACACTGGATATTTTCTTCGTCACGCCACGCCGGGAGAAAAGGTGTCATCAGTTCCCAGTCAAAAGCGTCGACGGAGACAAGTCTGGATAATTCTCACTTGTGACGGAATCTGATCGCTGAAGTCAAGTCAATGGCAGACTACTACCACTACTACCAATAATAATAATAATAATAATAATAATAATAATAATAATAATAATAATAATAATAATAGAATAATCATAACAATAACAACACTTATGATCTGAGTCTTAGGAATTACATCTCACAAAAGGAAGAGCTGTAGAAACCTTACAACAAAAAAGTATTATACGGGCGGAGCACTTTACGGAATTTCGAAAACTCAAAAAAAAATTTCAGATCGTGCAGTACTTTCTCTCCAAGACTACTGAAATAGACGATTTCAGGAACAATACAAATCACTACTCACTGTTAATACAAACTTTCACGTGTTTCTAAAAATGTAATTGAAAAGTTTAATTGAAACATCTATATGTAGGAACCCCTGCTATCCATCCCAACCTAATAACTTATGCATCACAGCATTATATTCACAAAAGGTTTTTGTAGTGGCTATAGGAGTTTTTGGAACCAATTCTAAAAGATGACTCTTCAAAAGCGTGCTCGTGCACAGATTGTCTCCTGTTCGATCGTTTTCCTTCAACGGTCCTCAACCGAGTTGGAGGAATATTGGTAAGGGTTTATGCAACAAGGATCTGTCTCCACCATCCAAATTGTGATCCAGATTACATGCCGCGACAGACGGAAGGGCCTGACATTTTAAAGCTTCATGCCAAACACCTTCCGTAATTGCTATGAACACACTGTACGACGCATTTTTCTATTTTTTCGCGCAGGAAGAAATTTTATTTTGTGTTCCGGATAAGGTTATTTTCCTGCCACGAAAGAGGAAAGTGTCGACAATTATTGAAATAAATAATTTGTTAATAGGCATGAAAACACTATATTTTAATTTAAACTGATTCATAGAGGAAA